CAATTTTTGAACTATTTTTGCATAGACTAAAGTACAAAGTAGTGAAAATCATTAACAGGCAATCGTTCGATCGGTTGAATTGCACAAAACGCATGATCGCACCGGCTAGTCTGGTGCGCGTTGCCATTTATTGCTTTTTTTTTCTTCGCGCATCTATGATTTTGACGTTTTTCGGCACAAAAGAGATTCTATTTCTAAAATTTTAAGCTGTTGCACCTAGAACTGCCTAGTTGTGATATTCCAGGTGAGGAAAGTTTAATGAATTTGAGGTCACTTCATCGGTGGAGACCGAACGAAAAACAATATCGGATAGTTCTATTTCCATGCGTGCCTGTGAAGGAGCAACAACTCTAGAAGATACACTACTTGCAATTGATCGCGCAACTGCAGCAGCAACAGCATCATCCCAAGGAGCAGCAAAAAGATTGATACGTCGTTCGAGCAGTGATACGAAACTTGCTAGAAGTGATCTAGGGATAAAATCTACTGATATTTGAATATAACTAATTTGCAAAGGTGAACTCCTTGAGAAATTTTAGTTGAAAAGTTCTGGGAACTTTCCGGCAAAAATTGTCGAGAATTCACTGAGTGCTGTTATATGTTGCTTTATGATTTTTTCTTGAGTGTTAAAATATGTTTGCTGTTATCCGGTCACCACAGGATGCCTGTTTTTTTATGCATTTTTGCTTTTGTACAAATGCAAAAAAAGCATATTGGCAAGAGGGTGTATGTGTATGTGTGTGTGTGCGCGCGCGCCTGTGTCTGTGTGTGTTTGTGTGTTCGCACTTTTTGTCATCTACTTTCAACTTGAGAACCAGTAAAGCTGGAAAGCTGAAATTTCAGGAGTATGTGCCTACGCTATGTGCGACCTTCCCATTTTAATATATCACCCGCGTACGCTTGGGTGCTGCGTACAGACTTCTTAAAAAAATACGCAAGTTTTTTAGCGGGAACACGACCTTGGAAACCAGAAGAGGTAGAGAGCCGAATCTTTGCAGGGATACTCTCTGCGCATGTATGAGCGAAAGGTTTAAAATTCAACTCCTAGGCGTGCATAGCTCTAACGTACGAGCATGCGAAAGTTTTGTCGATAAAACTGCTAACTCGGCAACCAGTAAAGCTACAAGGCTGGAATTTTAAGAGTATATTCCCCATCCACGTACAATTTAAAGATTTCAAATTCAGCCTTCTCTCTCCCACCCCGCTTCCGGCGCGCGTAGTACTCATGTACGAGCATGTGGAATTTTTGACGTCAAAATTACTAACTCATGAACCAGAAAAGCTAGAAAGCTGGAATTTTAGGAGATTGTTCTTTGTTCAAGCACAACTTAAATATTTCAAATTTAGCCTCCAGGTACGCGTGATTCTCAAGCATGGGTAGTTGAAAGGTTTGGCGGAAAAATTGCTCACTGAACGGCTAGGTCATTTTCAAAGAATGACCGTTAAACGGGAATTGTTTATTTACCTCGTGCAAAATTTACGATGATTTACGCTAATGAGCGCACAGTGTAGGTGTGAAGCAACAATCATTCATGCAGTTAACAACCTGAGTACTTTAACTCTCGTACAAGGACGCATAATCACACCGACAAGCCTGGTGCATGTCAGCCTGGATTATTAGTTTATAACATGTGCATTATTGTCACATATTTGTTTGGTCTGTTCAATCTGGCAGTTAAATGCCACTAATTTTATGAATTTGGGCGTAAATTACGAGCTGTCATCCTTCATGTCCGAGGTCTTTTCAGTGAAAAGATTCATCCATTCGTTTGCTGGTAAAAGGTTGCGAGATTTTTCGTGAATACCCTT